CTTACTTCTTTCGGGTAACTCTTCAACACCATCTCTTATAAAAGTTTTCTCTGAAAAATCACTATAATGAAGAGATTTTAAATTTGGACTAAGCCTATAAAATCTCCATTTTTTATTGTAAATAGATCTTCTACCTAAGTTTTGTTGATTTGTTGAAAGACTTGCTGGTGTTATTAACGGGAACCAATCACCGAGTAGCAGACATTTAATACGTTGTTGCTTAACGAATTCATAAGATTCTGTATATAATTGTTCTCGTAGATTTCTATTTCAAAAAAAAAAATCAATATTTTTATTTCGAATGAATATACATAATGGATTATTTATTACTAACCTGACAGGCGTTTTACTTAATAGATCATCACCGAGTTCTAATTCTTTTAATTGCCTATCTCTAATAACTTTATATTCAACTTCCAACATGTCCTTTTCGAATTCATAAAGTTGCTTTGTCGCTTCGTCGCGTAGCGCATATTTTAATTGACTTCTTACCAATGCAGATACCTTGGGAAAATCATCAACAGTCGCTTCCATATCGTTCCATAATCGGAAAAATGCCTTTACAGTTATATAGTGAATTTTATTAAACGATAACAACAAAGGCTGAAATGACGTTGATGTCGTATCTTCAAAATATGTTCAAAATTGTTAAAATTTAAATATAACGAGAATATTATACGATAATATATGAAAATACAGGCAATTCTTACATCCTGTACTAACGTCCCAATAATCACATAGCAACTCCGTAACTTCGATGGATGTCTTCGCAAACGGGCATCGACGTTCAGCAGGTCGATTGATTTGTTCTAGTATTGTCTACATGTAAATAATTAAATAATTTAAAATTTGAATTTTAGTGAGCTGACATTTAGATATTATAGTAGGCCCCCTTTTAGATATTAACAGTTACCGTTTACCACAATATATAGTATACAATGTATAGTATACACATGAAATAGTATACTTCACTGATTAAGACTCTGTTACCAGTAGGAAAGCATCGATCTTCTAATAATAATGCCCTCTAATTATTAATCTTTTATTGGAAGGAGTATTAGAAAGACAACTTTATATAAATTGGTGATTAAAAAAGTGTGTGTGTTGGAAATCTTCCAATAAAAAATTTCTAAATATCTAATGTTATCCAATATTTTTATTAGAATTTCAATTCCAATAAATTTGATTGGAAACTTCCGATTAATATTGCACCATCCATGCAGGCTTAATTATTTATTAATTTATACACAATTATAGTGCCCAGATTCACACAAGTATTATTCAATTCAAATCATGATATGTAAACATTTTACAGATTATATCATGTAATATTTGGGTAGTGAAATCCACGTGTAAATGCTTTTGTTATTTGATGACCTAATATCTGCAACCTTAGAAATATAGCGGTAAACGGTATGTACTAAAACTTTAGCTAACAAATGTTAGCGATCTGATCTTACCTTTTGATATTCTTCTGGATTTTTCTTCATAAACCCATGCATATTATCAAGTCCTAAATATCCAACACGTTGAATTTCCCATTTTGGCGCTTCCGTCTTATATGTAATACACAAATGTATTAGTATAGTATTAGTACAGTATTTAAGAAAGCAATATTATTTAAATAATTAAAATTACCGCAAATCCGACTTTTCTCCATTTACCACCTTCTTCAGGTAAATTTGCAGACTTCCAAATTTCTTCTAGCATAATTTTATGTGACGGAATATGTAATGATACTTGTGTCCTTTTCCATCTATATGCTTGCCGAACAAATAACGATTGAAATTCTAACAAATGTTTTGATAATTCTTCCCCATGAACTCCATTCATCAAAAGCTAAAAAAAATTAAATAAATATTATACCATTTATTATTTCATTAAAAGCAGGAATCTAAAAATAAACAATTTCTACAAAATATTACTAATAGTATTCAAATTTTAAACGTACCACAACAGCTTTTCTAACATTCAACTTATCCAACATGTTCATAAATGATTCCCAATACTGATCTGTAACATGCCTCATAAGTGCATTAATCAAACATAAACTATTTGAGCGTAACACATAGTCAGCAGAAGCAAAGCGTTGCACTAGAGTAGGTAGAAAATTAGGTTGAAGTAATATCGCTTCATGCAATACATCAAATCCATAAGACCTTATTGGTGAAGTAGTGGAACTTTTATCTGCAGTGACTAATTTTATAATTATGGCAGTTGCTGGCCGACATATGTTTACAAGTGTTTGATCTACCAATA